CGCCTGGGCCCACTGGCGACCACGTCAGGGAACGACTCACTTCTACGCCTTCATGACCTGAAGCCCAAGGCTGCTGCATCGCCATCGCCTGCCACGCCAGGGTTGACGCTCATGCCGCTGAAGAAAGTGGCCAGCCCTGATGCTGGGTACGCGCCCGACGTGGGCATTGACGTTGCCGCTGATGCACCAGCAGATGGCTCGCCAGCCTCGGAGGCGCCTGTCACCGTAGATGCTGTAGATATCGCCTCGGAGATCGAGGCGAAGATGAGGGCAGCTGCAAAAGCCAAGCTCCCACCTCACAGTCGTGACCGCTGTCTGCGGAGGCCTGCGCAGGCAAAGGCAGCCCCCCCAAAGGCAAAGGCCAAGGGAAAGGCGAAGGCAACAGCGAAGGCAGCCTCCGTCTCCAGCATCGGTGGGCAGGGGCCATGGGTGGGCGCATGCATCATGATGCAAGCACGGTTGTTACTGGTGACTCGGGCGGGCCCTCTTGGGGCTCGTGCCAGCTCCTCCTCCCCCTCCGCCCTCCAGGATGAGGAGCTCCTCCTCCTCCTGGAGGGCGGGGGAGGAGGAGGATGAGGACGAGGGTGAGGAGGATGAGGATGACGAGGAGGCGGAGGCGGAGGAGGAGGATGAAGAATAGGATGATGAGGAAGCTGGGGGAGGACGAGGGGGAAGACCTGTAGCAGAACCCTTCCGCTACAAAAGGCGCTCACTGGTGCTGCCGAGGGGGTGACATGTAGCGGAACACTCCCGCTACACAGGGGATGAGGAGGAGGAGGAGGAAGATGAGGAGGCATAGGATGATGATGATGCCGATGCTGATGATGATGATGACGAGGAGGAGGAGGCGGAGGAGGAGGAGGAGAGGGGTAACTATCTGATCTGTATGCGCGCACGTGGCTACATGAGTGGGGAGGGGCAGGCGGCAAGCGCAAGAGGACATTCTACGCTGAATTCCTGGGCTCCACAGCGATCGGCGGCAGGTCTAAGAGCGCATGGGCCTCCTGGGTCTACGGTCGCGCCAAGGCTGCTGCCCTTGCATCGGGGTTGAGTGACTTTGATTCGATTTGCGTTGCACGGGAAGGGTACCAGGCTGCTGGTAAACTCTGGGACGAAAGCTAGGCACGCACGCTACGTGCCCGACGGGCATGTTGGCCTTCCAGGTAGGCATTGCATGAGGGGGGGCAGATACATGTGTAGATGACTAGGGGCGGTTGTCCACATCCATGTCTGACAACAACTTTGAACCAGGCTGGAGCATGTTGGCACGCGTTCAATGTTATGTGCGCAGCTCGTGCTAACGACGGCCTGCGAATTCGATAGATTTGCCTGCGTAGGGTTGTCACACGTGGGCCAGTCAGCGACTGTTCACCTGGAATGCGCATGACGTGCACACTGGTAAATTGCCTTCTGTGAGTTTGAGTTCGGGGTCGGCGGTGTGCGCATCTGACCACCGCACGTTGGCGAAGCTACTGGGCTTACGAACGAACATGCTACGGCAGCTGCAAGCAATGCCATTAAGACGGGACCCCTGCCCAAGAGGACCCCCCAATGCGGCCCACTGCCAAGCGGCTCCCACGATGGCCCAAGATGCCTCCCAGACAGTCGTGACAGTTGCCCTGGAAGTAAATTGGAACTACGTTCCAGCATCTGCCCCAACACTAAATTGGAACGGCGTTCCAAAATCGGCCTCGCGGGCTCGCTGGCTCCCAAGATGGTCCAAGAGGCGTTCAAGACAGTCGTGACAGCTGCCCCAGATGCAAATTGAAACGGCGTTCCAAAATATGCCCCAACACTAACATGGAACGGCGTTCCAAAATCGGCCTCACGGCCAATGGGCTCCCAAGATGGCCCAAGATGCCTTCAATACAGTCGTGGCAGTTGCTCAGGTTATGCCCAATATGTCCCAAGATAGCCCTATTACCTATGACTGCCCAAGAGCGGTCCTGCCAGACGGCCCAAGCTGTCTGCATGCATGTATGTATGTATGTATGCATGCATGTGTATTGTAGTAGTTCGGCTTCTTGCTGCAATGCAGCTGCCCATGGTACTGTTGTAGCCCACATGCCCCCATCAACACATATACGCATGCGTATACAACCATGCAGCATACGTGTATATGCACGTGCATAGCCGTCTTGGCTCAGGTCATGTCAGGACATCCAAAGAGATTGAAGCTGTCAGACCTCGGCAGAAAGTCTCACGTCACCGATGCAGGTTTAGCTTCTGTGTTGAACGAGCTGAGGGATTCAGAGGCTGAGTGTCCAAGTGCGACTTCGACTTGGGCCGTGCGGAAGGCCAGACAAGATGTTGCACACCAGGGGACTCAATTTGGACCGCTCGTGCAGAGACTTCCCGATGACTTCCTCACTCCTGGTTTCGGTTGCTGGGTGGTCCACACATTGGCAATGCTGGAAGTAGCGCTGACATTATCGTCGGAGTTTCGCCAGGTGTTCATTCAAACAATGGACGCCAGCAGCAATGTAATGGAAGTGATACTGTATTCAGATGAAGTAACACCTGGGAACAGCTTGGGGCTTCATAAGTTTCGTAAAGTACAGACGCTCTACTGGGCAATCCACAACATGGGGTATCCAGCCCTGTCCGCCGAGGAAGTATGGATGACTCTGACGTGCTGCAGGTCCTCGCATGTGAACAAACTGAGTGGAGGCATGTCTCAATTTACTCGTGCGCTGTTGAAATTGTTTTTTGGGCAACCATCATCTTATGACCTCCGACATGGAGTCTCATTTCAGATTCCAGGGGAGGGCAGCCCACGGCTGCTATTTGCCAAGTTGCATTTAATTGTGCAAGACGAGAGAGCGCACAAGTTCATGCTGACGACAAAAGGCTGCAACGGTGTGAAAATATGCCCACTGTGTTGCAACATTGTGGGCATTAACTCGGCGTATGTCGGTGAGCGCACAGACTTCTGCCTCCCGTCATCGACTTTAGATCGTTCAGAGTTTAAGGCATTGACTGACGAAGACATCTGGTCTATGCAGTCCAGGCTGGGGCATCTGGCAACAACCGACCCCGTCAAGCTGAAGGAAGTCGAGGTGTACTATGGTTTCATATATTGCGAAACTGGCGTGATGCAAGATTCGGATTTACGGGTGAGGCTAGCCTCTGTCTGGGGCTGGGACTGGATGCACATATACGCCGTTGATGGAATATTCATTAATGAGGTGGTCTGCTTGATGCAGTCGCTCGCCGAAGCAACCAATAATAGATTAGGTGCTAAGCAGTTGGATGCATACCTCCAGAATTTCAGGTGGCCTGGTTGTTACAGCAACGCCCGAAACATATGCAAAGGCAACAAATCATTTACGCCAGGAGGGTCGGCATCCGAGATGTTGGCCCTTGCACCTGTGCTGCACAAGTTTCTCGTCGATATCGCGTATCCTTCTGGCCAGTGCAGGCCGCAAGTTGAGAGTGCAATTTTGTTGTGCAAGGTGCTTGAGCTACTCAGCGTTGCAAATTCTGGCACTGTGAGTGCGAACTCGTTGGACGATTCGATTTTAACCCATTTGTATGCTCATCAAGTTGCGTATGGAGAGTCCTTGTGGAAACCCAAGAACCACTGGGCAACCCACATAGGCCCACAATTCGCTCGTTTTAGGCAGTTGGTGTCGTGCTTCCTCATGGAAAGGAAGCACACAACAGTGAAACGTCTCGCGGAGTCTCGCCATAATGACCGTAGTTACGAGAAGGGTTTGGTAGAGGCAGTTGCTCTTGATGCAGTGTATCACCTGCAGCATCCTATATTTAAGTCAGACCTCGTGGAGCCGCATGCGGCATCAAAAAAATGCGCTGCGCCTTGACTTCGGAATTTGGTATCAGCCCTGCAGCAACCATCTTGGCAAGTTCAAAAGCATGTGTCAACTTTAAACTCATCAGGGCTGCTGATGTGGTCGCATTCCAGAATGATGATGGGCTCATTCGATTTGGTGAAGTATGGTGCCACTGCAGCTTTGATGGAGTCGTGGTCAGCTGCGTGAGCGAGTGGGATCTTCAGTCGGTCCAGTTTCACGTTGCAAAATGTATCGTGCAAGATGCTCCGATTGTAGTGCCTACTTCCAATCTGCTGGAGCCGACCGTGTTCTGGCCCGCAGAGGTCGGCAGCATATGTCAGGTCCTGTTGCCGCCGAAACTTCGGCACGTCCTATGCACAAAAATATGAAACATAGTGTTGCTGGCCGTGCTGTCTGGCGGACTTGTTTTAGTTGGCTTTGAGAAGCCCCTCGAATGCCCTCCCTAGGGGGCCCCTGGAGGAACCCTCAAAGGGCCCCATGGAGCCCATAGAGCCGCTCTCCCCCAGGCCCCCAAAGGGCCCCTCGAAACAATCAATGTGCACGCCGATGCTTCAAACGTGTGCGTTTATGTGTTTTGTGTTGTTTATGTTTGTTTGTATGCGGCTTGTTTTCGAAAATACATGGCCTTGTCATTTAAAATTTAGTAGGTGTTTAAAGTTTTGTTATTGGTCGTATACAGGATAGCGGAGTTAGCGTATCCAGGATAGCGGACTTATCGTAACTAGATTAAGCTAGTTAGCTAACCTACTAACACCTGGTTATAAGTACGTCTGTATCTCAAGTACTAACCTAAGTATATCTTGTTGTAGTAACCTGCGTAAACAGAAGCTATGTACTCATATGTTCTGTAAGTGCGTATAAACACCGTCATCCATCCAAGCAAGGCCCGATGCCAGGCCCCGGGACAACCGCCGGACGGACAACATCCCAGACATGCGACACCCGGCTTTTTTCAGCGCGGCGTCCCCGGACGTCCCGACCCTTTCCCCGGGACCGGCTGTTCCTCCTGAGTCAATGTTTGATGGCCCCGGCGGTCCCGGGGCCCAGCGAGGGCCTCCAGAGGCCGAAAACGACGAAAAACCTCCGCCCTGATTCCTTTTCCACGCGAGCATGTCTGGGATCATAGTCATCGATCCTCGGACCATGGGTCGGAGCCGCGTGCGCTTTGGCCGGCCCCGGGCGGGCTCTTGTAGAGCAGCGCCAGCCCCCCGAAGGCGTCGCCCCTGGTCAGAGTGTTGACCGCCTGGCTTGGCGGCGGGCGAGGGGGGGAAGTGAGTAGGAGAAGGCTTTCTCAGAAGGCGGCGGGACCCAGAAGCCCTCGCGCCTTCTGACAGGTTTTCTCCGTCTTCGGGGAAGGCTCAGAAAACTTCTCGAAAGGCCGGAGGACTTCCGAGACTTCTGAGAAGGCCCGCCTGGCCAGGGCCATCCTGGGCCCTGGGGTTGCGCAGGAGGAGGAGGAGGGGGAGGAGGAGGGGGAGGAGGAGGAGGAGGAGGAGGAGGAGGAGGAGGGAGGAGGAGGGGAGAGAGGGGGGAGGAGGAGGAGGAGGAGGAGGAGAGGAGGCGGAGGAGGAGGAGGAGGAGGAGGAGGAGGAGGGAGGGGGAGGAGGAGGAGGAGGAGGAGCAGAAGGACGAAGAGCAGAAGGAGGGGGAGGAGGAGGAGGAGGAGGAGGAGGAGGAGGAGGAGGAGGAACAGAAGGAGGGGGAGGAGGAGGAGGAGGAGGAGGAGGAGGAGGAGGAGGAGACGGAGGTCGCCGCCGCCGTCGCCGTCGATGGGTAGTGGTCCCCGCCGAGAAAAGTACGCCCGTCCGAGCGATGGCAAGGCATGGCTCTCCTCAGCAGCCGGGTAGGGGAGAAGCAGGACTCCGCTGCCCCTCGAGGGGGTTCGGACGTCCATTCCCTGTGTTTTTTGTCGGCTTCCTGCGTGGTTTTTTCGCCAAATGATCAAGGATGCTCCTCGCGATGGTCCCCGCCGAGACAAAAGGCACACGTCCGAGCGATGCCAAGGCATGGCTGTCCTCAGCAGCCGGGCGCAGGGGAGCAGCAGGCCTCCGCTGCCCCTCCATTGAGGGGGCTATCTATCCCGACCGCGCCCCGCGCGAGCGAGGCCGACCGCCAGGCAACGAAAGGCAAAGACTCAACAGGAGCAGGGGATGCCATTAGTCCCCCTCCTCCTCCCTCTCCTCCTCCTCTTCGTACCCACTCTCCTCCTCCTCCTCCTCCTCCTCCTCCTCCTCCTCCTCCTCCTCCTCCTCCTCCTCCTCCTCCCTCTCCTACCCCTTCGTACCCATTCTTTCCGTGCCCGCTTCGACCGCCCCGACGCGCGGGTCGCTCGCCGTGACCATCCGTGGCCCCCCCCGGCAGCGCGGGCCGCTCGATCTGCCCGCCGACTCCGGGGGCGCGCGCTGGGGCCGCCGCCGCGTCGCCGCGGCGGGACCCTGCCGCACGGAGGTGGGCTGCCTTTGGCGAGGCCACACAGGGGCCCTGCTGCTGTGCAGAAGCAGCCGCTCTCCTGCTCCCTCTTCCCTGCTCACCACCTCGCCTCCTCGACCACGGCCCCACGAAATGCCTCCTGCTCCTTTGCGGCGTCCTCCTCCTCCTCCTCCTCTTTTGTTTTGCCATCAACGGCAATGCCTCAGGAACGTACTAACCTGACTGAGCGAGACACCTCAGCCAGGAAAACAAGAACCTTCAATCCGAAGAACCGCTCGAAAACCGAGGCCTCGGACCAGGGAGGGGAGCCTCGTCTCCTCGTGTCCCCCCCCCCCCGCCGGACATGAGCACAGATCGACCTGTGGAGGGGGGCCCTCCCCATGTGTCGGCCCACGGCGCGGCTCTGCGCAGGCTGCACACCGTGAGCCCGCGACGGGCCCCCCCTCCCCCCCAACAGAGGGCGTCCGAGCGCGCGCTCCCTGGAGCAGAAAACGAACACTTTGCGACAGGAGGAGGAGGAGGAGGAGGAGGAGGAGGAGGAGGAGGAGGAGGACGAGGGAGGAGGAGGAGGAGGACCTCCCCCTCGAACTCGTCCAAGGCCTCCTCCGACCCGCTCCCTCTCGCAGGCCTTCCCCTCCGACGACTCTCTCATCAGTGCAAGGGTAGAGCAGCCACCTGCCCGTTGACTTCCACTCTCAGGGCGCCCGCGTCCACCACGAAGAAGGCCGTGCCGACCTCGAGGAAGGCACGATGAGCAACACCAAAATGGCAGTGCGAGAGGGGCGAGGAGAACTGGCCAGGATGTGGACATCGCGGTATAGGGGGCCAATCGACGAGACCAAAACTCACCATCGCTCGGACGTCCATTCCTCGCGTGTTTTTCTATGTTTCGTGCGCGTGTTTTTTCTCCAAATGATCAAGGATGGTCCTCGAAGGCCGCCGCCGAGAAACAAAAATGCACACGTCCGAGCGATGCCAAGAAAGTGGCAGTGCGAGAGGGGCGAGGAGAAGTGGGCAGGATGTGGGCATCGCGGTATGGGGGCCCAACGACGAGACGGACACCCGCAACAACAACTGGGCCCATGCAGGAGTTGAGCATAGCAAACTGCATGTATGGCTCGAGGCTGATACTGCATGTCATCAGTGGCTGGCCGAGGCAACTATCTTCGCTGCGTGTGTGTGTGTGTGTGTGTGTGTGTGTGTGTGTGTGTGTGTGTGTGAGCAGCTGCATGCCGAAATGATCAGCAACGCGAGTGTGGAGCTGACTCTGCATGTTTGCTCGAGCCACAGGTGAATGAAGGCTGATAAAAGGCGAAATAAGGCGGTGCTCCCTTTGGACGGCGTGATAAGACAGACGACTGACACGACGAAGCGAACGAAGATAGCAAAAACGAAAACCACACGCAATATGCACCGTTTGGCTGCATCGGAAAAGAACACAGAGACATGTGACGGGGGCGGAAAGAGAGAGAGAGAGAGAAAGAGATATATGCTATTTCTCTTCCTATATTTCCCAACCATCCTGTGGTGTTGGGTCCTCGTTTTGAAGAGACGGTGCCCCGCGTTCTCCTTCCTTCCTTCCTTCCTTCCTTCCTTCCTTCCTCCCGCTGCCTCCTCCCCCCTCCCATCATCATCATCATCATCATCATCATCATCATCATCATCATCATCATCATCATCATCATCAACAACACCCAGTTCGGCACACCCCTCACACGTTTCGTGGCTCCATAGGTAGCTCCACCGAAGGCCCCAGTGCCCGCGGCCGCATGCGTCACCCACACCCATTTCGGCACACCCCTCACACGTTTCGTGGTTCCATAAGGAGCTCCACCGAAGGCCCCAGTGGCCGCGGCCGCATGCGTCACCCACACCCATTTCGGCACACCCCTCACACGTTTCGTGGCTCCATAGGGAGCTCCACCGAAGGCCCCAGTGCCCGCGCCCGCATGCGTCACCCACACCCATTTCGGCACACCCCTCACACGTTTCGTGGCTCCATAGGGAGCTCCACCGAAGGCCCCAGTGCCGCGGCCGCATGCGTCACCCACCCCCATTTCGGCACACCCCTCACACGTTTCGTGGCTCCATAAGGAGCTCCACCGAAGGCCCCAGTGCCCGCGGCCGCATGCGTCGTGTCCACCCACACCCATTTCGGCACACCCCTCACACGTTTCGTGGCTCCATAGGGAGCTCCACCGAAGGCCCCAGTGCCCGCGCCCGCATGCGTCACCCACACCCATTTCGGCACACCCCTCACACGTTTCGTGGCTCCATAGGGAGCTCCACCGAAGGCCCCAGTGCCCGCGCCCGCATGCGTCACCCACACCCATTTCGGCACACCCCTCACACGTTTCGTGGCTCCATAGGGAGCTCCACCGAAGGCCCCAGTGCCCGCGCCCGCATGCGTCACCCACACCCATTTCGGCACACCCCTCACACGTTTCGTGGCTCCATAGGGAGCTCCACCGAAGGCCCCAGTGCCCGCGCCCGCATGCGTCACCCACACCCATTTCGGCACACCCCTCACACGTTTCGTGGCTCCATAGGGAGCTCCACCGAAGGCCCCAGTGCCCGCGCCGCATGCGTCACCCACACCCATTTCGGCACACCCCTCACACGTTTCGTGGCTCCATAGGGAGCTCCACCGAAGGCCCCAGTGCCCGCGGCCGCATGCGTCACCCACACCCATTTCGGCACACCCCTCACACGTTTCGTGGCTCCATAGGGAGCTCCACCGAAGGCCCCAGTGCCCGCGGCCGCATGCGTCACCCACACCCATTTCGGCACACCCCTCACACGTTTCGTGGCTCCATAGGGAGCTCCACCGAAGGCCCCAGTGCCCGCGCCCGCATGCGTCACCCACACCCATTTCGGCACACCCCTCACACGTTTCGTGGCTCCATAGGGAGCTCCACCGAAGGCCCCAGTGCCCGCGCCCGCATGCGTCACCCACACCCATTTCGGCACACCCCTCACACGTTTCGTGGCTCCATAGGGAGCTCCACCGAAGGCCCCAGTGCCCGCGCCCGCATGCGTCACCCACACTCATTTCGGCACACCCCTCACACGTTTCGTGGCTCCATAGGGAGCTCCACCGAAGGCCCCAGTGCCCGCGCCCGCATGCGTCACCCACACCCATTTCGGCACACCCCTCACACGTTTCGTGGCTCCATAGGGAGCTCCACCGAAGGCCCCAGTGCCCGCGCCCGCATGCGTCACCCACACCCATTTCGGCACACCCCTCACACGTTTCGTGGCTCCATAGGGAGCTCCACCGAAGGCCCCAGTGCCCGCGGCCGCATGCGTCACCCACACCCATTTCGGCACACCCCTCACACGTTTCGTGGCTCCATAGGGAGCTCCACCGAAGGCCTCAGTGCCGCCGCCCGCATGCGTCACCCCCACCCATTTCGGCACCCCCCCCGCATTTCTCGCACGGCAGGGTCATCACCACGGTGGCGTGCCAGGGGCGCACCATGCGCGAAGGCGACGGGGCGGAGAAACGGCGCTCCGGGGGCGGCCAGACCTCCGGGCGCGAGCAGTCCGCGGCCAGACCATCTCTCGGTCCTGTGGACTCTCGCCCTGGGCCGTCGGCTGCCCGGCGCGCTGCTCCCTCGGTCGACGTCGCCCAGGCGTGATCCTGGATTGCGGCCGCCACGAGGTAGGGAACGGCAAGAAGGAGGACGACGACTGGTGGCTGGAGCTCTACGTGCTGCTCTCGCGCGCCACGCGCCACGAGGACCTCCTGCTCATGCGGGCGCCGCGCATCGAGTTCTTCCTGGCAGGGCCGCCGCAGGGCTTGCGGAAGCAGCTGGAGCAGTTTGCGGCGCGCACGAAGCGGTGCAGGAGGGAAGCGACGGCCCTCGCCAGGGAGCTCGGCTTCACCGAGTTCATCCGCGAGGCCTGACCTGAGGAGCGTCTCCCCCGAGCTGCGCCTTCTCTCGACTGCCCGACTAATTGTTTGGCCTCGCGCCGCGGACGACCCGCGCGCGTCGCTGGGACCCTCTCGGGGCGACCAGCGCGCGTCGCGGGAACTCCGTGCTGCGGGGGGCCCGGCGCCTCGTTCGCCCGTCGTCGCTCTGCCCAGCGGTCAGAGACTTGCCCGCTATCAGCCAGCCAGTTAGCTAGTCAGCTCTCTCTGCTTCGCGCAGCGGACGACCCGCGCGCGTCGCTGGGACCCCGCCCGGGGCGACCAGCGCGCGTCGCGGGGACTCCGCGCTGCGCTGCGCCCGCAGCCTTGGATTTTGGAGTGCGCGGGCAAAGAGGAAGGAAAAGAAGAGCCGAAAGCGGGCGCGATCCTCGCAAGAGGCGTGCCGACATGGGCGTCGCGACGTGCGGACGCTGCCGTCGGGGTTCCCGCGGAAGCTGCCTGCGGCGGCCACGCCCAGTGTCACGTGTGTTCGGACAGGCATGCTCGAACCATTCACATTCATATACACTTACACTAGGCGTTTCCATGATCGCATTCATGCAAATATATTCATTCGCGCGCAGACCCATTCATACTCAGATTCCCTCGCGCTCTGACTCACCCGCGTTCTTTCTTTCGTAATCAGATCTATCGTATTCCTTTGCGTTGTGTACCCCGCCACATTTCGGCACACCCCTCATGCGGTTCGTGGCCCCATAGGGAGCGCCACCGAAGAAGATACTCACAATTGCGATATTCACAACTGCATATGGTTGGGTCCTTCGCCAGGATAATTTTATAAGCCCGGGCGGGGGGAAAACCCCTCCCCCCCCCCTCAAAACCAGACTCCCAGGATCTGGGGCTTTGGGACCCTCTGGACGGGCCTCGAAGCGGCCCCCCGGGCCTCGCAGGGCGTGGCGCGCTTCCGAAACGACCCCAGAGAACCCCAATACGGTCCACGACGACCCCCAAGAAGCCGTCATGCCCCCAAAGATCATCCCGAAACGTCCTAAGAGGTCTCCAAGAGCACTCCCAAGAAGGCACCAAGAGGCACTAATCATTGATTTTCGGTTGGTTTTCGGTGAACTTTGGGGTTCTCCTCTTTTCGCCTTCCCGACGCTCCAAGACGGCTGTCTTCTGGGCGTCCGAAGCCGCCTGGGATGCCCCAAAATCGCCCCACAACCATCCGAAAGGGCTTCCAGGCAGTCCAAGAGAGCCCCAAAACGGCACAACAGGGGTCCAAGATGGCCCTCAGAGAGCCCCATGGCGGCCCAAGATGGCCCCAAGATACCCTCCGAAGCATTCCAAGTCGTGACCCGGTCGTTCAGGGAGACCGCGGTTGGAGGCAGGGTGGCCCAAGGAAGCCCCCAGAGGCCTCCAGAACACGCCCAGGAGGCCTCCAGAAGGCCTTAAGAAAGCCTAAAACAATTGCTGTGAGGCCCCCAGAGGCTCTCCAAGGAGGAGCCTCCGCAAAAAGAGCTGAGGAGGATGGGGAGATTGCGCAAGGCATGGCGAAAATGAGGAAAAAGAAGCATGGAGGAAGGATAACGAATAAGATTAATATAGCGGCGATGCCGGAAAAGGCAACAAGGAATTATCGCTAACTTGTCGGCTTGACCTTCCTGCTAGTCCGCCTGCATACCAAACTTCAAGGACAAAGGTGCATGGCGCGAAGCATCACTGCAGTCATGTATATTTATATATATATATACATATATATACACATATATATATATACACATCTATGTAGAGAGAGGGGGGGGGGGAAAGAGATAGAGAGAGAGAGAGAGAACGAGAGAAAGAGGAGAGACACGAAACCAACAAGC